ATCTCGCACTTCCGAGATAGTTTATACTGTCTTGGGTATTTTGGTTCTAACTCTCTCACCCGATATCGGAATGAGATGATCCAAGATGCGTTGGAAAGATGACGAAGAGATATATAACTTTTGTCTTTTGACCTTCTTCAGATTTGGTGCGAGACAGTCATGAATGTCTCGTATTCCGAGACAGTTGGGACTGTCTCGTACTTTCGAGATAGTTTGTACTATCTCGGGTATTTTGACTCTAACTCCCTCGTCCAATATTGGAATGAGATGATCCAAGATACGTTGAAAAGCTAACGAAGAGATATATAACTTTTGTTTTTTGACCTTCTTCAGATTTGATGTGAGACAGTCATAACTGTCTCGCATTCCGAGACAGTTGCAACTGTCTCGTACTTTCGAGACAATTTGTACTGTATCGGGTATTTTGGCTCTAACTTTCTCGTCCGATCTCGGAATGAGGTGATCCAAGATGCATTGGAAAGATTGAGAAGATGTCTACAACCTCCTATAGGTGAAACACTCATAGGGTGGGTGAGACATACATGATACTTTACCCTTTTGTGGTTGAAGCACAACTCCTGATTGAGTTGTTCCTTTATCGTTTAGCATGTTTCACAGACTCGATGTGCTTTTTAGCTTCTCTACAATATCGGATAATCTCCTTTGATTCAGATAATCCTCCTTGACTCGGATAGTAATATTCAACGTCTTTTTTTCATCTCGAGCTGTGTGTGAGAACCTATAAGCAATGCTTATGCCTATAGTCTACTATCAATAAGAAAAATAGAGGGGAGAGGGGGTCACCCTGTTTGAGACCCCGATGGCACTGAAAGAAGGCAGTGGGGGAGCCATTAACCAAGATAGATGATTTGGATGAGGAGAAGATGAGAGATATCCAATGACACCATTTATCTTTGAAACCTCTGGCTTTGAGGATGGAGAGAAGGAAGTCCCATTGAACACAATCAAAAGCTTTGAAGAAATCTATCTTGTGGGCACATATTTCTTTTTTCCCCTAAGAGCAAAAATTAATCATCTCGTGAGCTAAAAGAATGGAATTAAGAGCAGATCTGCCACTTTGAAAGGCTGATTGAGTTTTATCCACCAACAAAGGTATGAGAGGGCTCAATCTACTAGGCAGAACTTTGGAAAAGATCTTAACAACACTGTTTATCAGGCTAATAGGTCTAAAATCTGATGGGGTGGAGGCATCTTCTTTTTTAGGAATGAGACAAATATAGGAGAAGTTAATGTTGTGGAGAAGATTGGGATTTGAGTGTAGGGATTGAACAAAAGATATTACGTCCTTTTCTATAACAGTCCAGAACCTTTGGAAGAAAAGGATGGGGAGACCATCTGGACCAGAAGACTTATCTAGGTGGAGCTCAAACACTGCTTTCTTAATCTCCTCATACGAGAAAGGGAGCTCCAAAACAGAGAGATCAACATATTGAGATGGATATAATTTGTTCCAATTGATATGAAGGTTTGATTTGTCTCTAGCTTGAAACAACTCTGAGAAGTAGGAGGAAAAAAATGTTTAATGTCTTCTTGAGCAGTGAGAATGGAGTTACCAAATTGAAGGTGAGGAATGAAATTAATTCTTCTACGGCGAGATGCAATTTTATGGAAAAAGGAAGTATTGTTGTCACCCTCTTTAAGCCAATGGATTCTTGATCTCTGTCTCCACCTTGTTTCCTCTACCTGGACTAACTTAAAAATCTGTACACTGAGAGCCTAACACAGCTTTGATTGCAACATTGAAACCAGAAAGAAATCACTTCAGCTTTTTAAAATTAGCACTTATTTAACGACATCTTAGGATTTGATAGAACATTTTCTATTCTTCAAGACCTAACAAAAATTCTTTATCGATTTTATATTACACATCCTTTTGTTGCAAAACCTTGATATATAACAGAGGGCAAGATTTGAAAAAATATATATAACAGTGTCGGTACATAATTTGAGCTGAATTCATATAATGTTTGGAATTAGTTTATAGTTAACTAGAGAGATTATGTCAATGTCTAATAAAGAGAATTTTTTGTGATAATTAATCATTTATGATGCGTAATTAAATCGGCGCACAACCCTGAAAAATTACTCTCGGATGAGTCTAGCAGTGTCGATACATAATCATGGATGAGGTTTTCTTTTTTCCCCTTAGGAAGGTGAGGGCGACGAACATGTCGTCGGCGACGTAGAGGAAGACGTTCTGATGCGCTCGTGAGGTGTTTTAGACCATCTTTATTTTTCGCCCAGTGTAAAAAATAATCCTGATAACGCCAATGCATATGTTCCACAGGTAAAGCCCGAACTCTAGCCAGTCAAACATCTCTACGGACCAATATTCGTCTTCAAAAGTCTCACGCTTGGAAGTACGACAAGAGCGGGGGTGTTGAGGGAGACCGCCACGTCTCAACCGAAGACTCGGCCCCACCTCATCATCAAAATGGAATTAATTAATGCCCATCAATCCCTCTAAAGTTAATCGTCCTTTTGCACGAGTCCACAAAAGCAGTGATTTCGGAATATTATCCATATCAACCGCTTATTATATACTCCCTTTCACCATAGAGAAATAAAGAGAGGGATCACTGTGCGTAATCTTCAAAATTTGATTACTGTCACCTCTCTATTAATTTGAAGCGTGACTGCTACTCGACCTTCTTTTTTTAGCTTGTTTTTTTCTGAAATTAATTAAGGATTAGTTAAGAGAGTGAAATTATAGGACATATAGTCTAGTATGATTAATTAGAACTATCCTTCACTAATTAAATTTAATCAGAATTTGTGAGATACGTATTTAAGTGCCTAGCTAATTCGCTAGCGTGGGGTTAACGTTTGATCAACCTCCCTGGTTTTAATGCAACAAATTTCCTCTAAGCCCGATCTCATGAGAAAATGATTCGTAGTTCTGATGCATTGCAGTAATGGTGTGCCGAGTATACCCTTAATTCTCATACCAATATGTGTAAATCCTCGGTTCCTTTAGATCAATGCCCAAATTCTGATATATCATCATTTCAGTGATGACTAGACAATAAACTCCATAAAACAAAAAACTAAAGTCATAGGGTCGGACAATAATCTCTAAACTATTTTTGTACCGTAAGAAGAAACAAGAGTGTAGGGTTGGCCTTTCTTTTGAAGTTTATAGTACTCGTTATCATTTTTCTTGGACTAAATCAGAATCATTACATTCTTTCTTCAGTCTGAATCCAACTTTGCATATAAACATGAGTTTTGAGTGTTGGAGCTAGAATAATGTTCCCAATTATATATCATGAAAGTTTATTCCCCTAATCTGATGAGATCCCACATACTGTAATACTTTGCATCACTTCACACTTTCCCGCGGGGTCTTCTTATGGTTGATTATGACCCATAGATTAAGCTTGCATCAAGCTTTAAATAGTTACTAATTTTCTTATTAATATGATTCCTAATCTTATTTTTAGATCCATTTTACTCTCAAAGGGACATAATTACTTGCTCAACAAGTAAGCTAGTATCAGGAAAGATTAGCGAGAACTGAATATTGTTGCAAGTTCAAATGAACACTAAAGTTGCTCCATTATCAAACAGTCTTTACATCTAATTTTATTTTGGCTAAATATCAGAAAAACCTCCTTTATTTTGGATGATTATCGAATAACCCACCATAACTTTGAAAATATTAGAAGAAAAACATTGCTTGAGTACGGTGATTATCAGAACATCCCTTTAAATTTTTTATCAACAGACTGCCTATAATTTTTAGATTTTACTAGAAGAAACCTCTTAAAAGTAGGAGGGTTTTCCAATGAAATCCCAAAGTTAAATGAGATTTTCTAATAACCCCTAAACCGGGGGGGGCGGGGGGGCTCGGCAGTGATATTTTCAAATTTATGGGTGGTTATCGGCAATCGTCTGTAGCCAACATCTTTTAAGCCCGAGACAAGAGAACTGATAAAAATATTGGCTCAGAAAGTGAAATCATGCGCAAATATATAACGATGTTCATCGACTGCTGCGATAGGAACTCTAGTTTCAGAGCGTCGAGTTATATAAAGGTTTAACGCTTTTAACTTGGACACATAATTCTTCTTTTCCGTTAATTTTCCAAGTATTTTCTCTTGATCTATCATCATTTTTTAATTTTTGACACGACTGAAGGATATCTATTGTTAATCACCAACCAATGAAATGTCTGAGATTATACGGTAACGACGACCTTCTAGTTCGTCTATAATGAATGGACTCGATGCATCTTTAATGAACTAATTAGTGATAACTATAGAAATTATCTACTAATTAGACAAACTTCTTTTTTTTAGGGACGACCTTTTGTTTCTTTGAGCAGTTATAAGTGAGGGTGACACAAAAGATAGATATCAAGAAGATTTTCCTATTTTTTTTTTTCCTTTTTTTATTTAAAATGGAGCGATAAGAAAGAAGTGAAAAAAAGAAATATAGGACCTAAAGCTGAAATTTTTTGAATACAAGGGTTTTGTTGTCATTGATGATGGTGTGTAACAGCACGTGTTCAAAAACTAACCTACCAGCATTTATGTGTAATTGGCTAAATATCATAAAAACATCCTTAACTTTGGACGATTAACTTTCAAAATGTTAGAAAATCCTCCTTAAGTTTAGGGGTTATCATAAAACCTTCTTTAACTTTGAGATATTATCTTGAAACCCCCCTAAATTAGGGATTTTTTTTTAATCTTAAAGTTAAAGAGGGCTTTCTGATGAAATCTGAAAGTTAAAGAGGGATTTCGCTACAATGCCTATACTTAAAGGGAGTCATTCTGATATTTTGGAGGTTAAGTATAGTTTTTCCGTTAATCGTCCAAAAATTAAGGTGTTTTTAAATGATAAAAGAGATTTAAAACAAGAGAGAGATCTGACAAGAAAGAGAGCCTCTTTTATGGGCCGGGTTGCTGGGCCTAAACCCGTTAAGCCTGTTTACCCATCTCAAAGTCGGCATATAAAAATCAAACCCTAAACGCCTCGGAAAACTTCTCTTTTTCGATCAGCCGCCCACCCGCAGCCTGTAAGTTTTCCTTCTCAAAAACACCAATCTTTTTCCCCTATTTTCCCCCTCAGTTATTTCGTTCTTCGTTTTGTAATTTATATTAAGTTTGCGGGGGAGTTCTTCAATCATTTGTTAGGTTTTTTCCCCTTAAAAGTCGGATTTTTGAGTGGTGCTTTGTATTGATTATTGCTGGATGACGAGAAAATCGATCGGGTTTGTGTAGTTCACTTGTAGTCCGTGTCCAATTTCAATTCTTTTCTCCGTAGATTCATCGTAAACCGACACAAGATGACCCAAAATACACAGAATTGAGAGATCCAAGCGTTATTGTTGCTTTTATATTAGCTGAGGAAAAAAGATGGGCTGGATTTGCAAACTGTGCGAAAACTGTAGATTTGTATTACAAAGGTATAGGAGTCTGCGATGTTACTGTTTTGTGATGCCACAGTGAAGATGAGGGCTTCTATACCCCTATCGCACTATGGAAATCTGTTGCTGTTTTGTGTTCCAATCTAATTCCAGTCTAAGTTTGCTGTGTCGGTGTGTCGTGTAATGGTATCTGTGATGATGGCTCTCATAAATGATCTTTTCCCTGACCATCTTGAGGGCCTATATGAGTGGGCTGTTTTGATCTGTTGAAATGAAAATTTTTGCATTTTACGAAGAATGCTCTTGTTTGGCGAGCTGACACTGTCTTCATGGCCACATTGGCCGGCCAGTGTATAACACGTTCCTATTGTCTTAGGAAGTGTTTTGGTAAACCTGTGCTCCTGAAATTCAATGAGCATGTTTCTGAAATTCGATAATAAGACTAGTACAATGTGTGTTTGTGCATGTCCTTACAGTAATGATTTAGCCACCACGGGTTTACTCGTGTGAACTTGTTTGCTTGCTTTGTATATCTTCTTTTATGTGCTTGTCAGAATTCATGTCAGATGTCATGTTTCTTGCCACTTTGTATTTGTTTGAGATGAATATGTTTCTTCCACATGGACAAATGCAAATAAATAAATAAATAAATAAATTTGTTACGTCCCACCTAAGCTGCATAGGTTCACTTTATATTATCGAGTTGATTATTTATTTCTTAATTAGATGTAGTGCATGAATATTTTTGCAACCTTTAATTCCATTTAGATCTTTTTGTGCTTTCGTATTTTCCCATAATAAACTTTTTCTTCTCTTTATTCACTGTTACTGATCACATGACAGCAATTGTTGTTTAATATGGTTCTTCTCTTTCTCTTCTAGATGACTTCATCTTGGTTTGATCACTTTTTTCTGTACAACCTTGTAACAGGTTCAATCCTAGTCATATAACGGAAAGATGGTGCAGTACAACTTTAAGAAGATCACTGTGGTTCCTTCATGCAAGGACTTCATCGACATCGTCCTCTCTCGTACACAAAGGCAAACACCGACTGTCGTCCACAAGGGATATGCCATCAACCGTATCCGCCAATTTTACATGAGGAAGGTGAGGTACACGCAAGAAAACTTCAGTGAGAAACTCTCAGCCATCATTCTCGAGTTCCCTCGGTTAGATGACATCCATCCTTTTTATGGCGATCTCCTCCATGTTCTTTATAACAAGGACCACTATAAGCTTGCACTCGGCCAAATTAACACCGCAAAGAACATCATTACAAAAATTTCAAAAGACTATGTAAAGCTGCTTAAATATGGTGATTCTCTCTATCGGTGCAAATGCTTGAAGGTTGCTGCCCTTGGTCGGATGTCAACTGTTATAAAGCGCATAGGCCCTAGCTTGGCGTATTTAGAGCAGATACGGCAACACATGGCAAGACTCCCTTCGATCGACCCCAATGAGCGTACAATATTGATTTGTGGATACCCAAATGTCGGCAAGAGCTCTTTTATCAACAAGATTACGAGGGCTGATGTGGACGTTCAGCCATATGCTTTCACTACCAAATCTCTCTTTGTTGGCCATACTGATTACAAGTATCTACGTTACCAAGTGATTGATACTCCTGGGATTCTCGACCGTCCATTTGAGGACAGGAATATTATAGAAATGTGCAGCATTACAGCCTTGGCTCATTTGAGGTCAGCAGTGCTCTTTTTCCTCGACATTTCAGGATCTTGTGGGTACACCATAGCACAGCAAGCTGCTTTGTTCCACAGTATCAAATCACTATTCATGAACAAACCACTGATCATTGTTTGCAACAAGATTGATCTACAACCACTTGACGCACTTCCTGAAGAGGACAGGAAGCTGGTTATGGAGATGAAGTCTGAGGCAGCAAAGACTATAGTTGCACAAGGTGGGGATGTGAAAGATGACAATGTCTTGCTCTCTATGAGTACTTTAACTGAAGATGGAGTGATTGCCGTTAAGAATGCTGCCTGTGATAGACTTTTGGACCAAAGAGTGCAGATAAAGATGAACTCAAAGAGGATGAGCAGCTGCTTGAACCGGTTTCATGTTGCAGAGCCAAAGCCTCGAGACAACAAGGAGCGACCACCGTGCATCCCTCAGGCAATTCTTGAAGCCCGTGCGAAGAAAAGTGCGGAGAAGGAGAAGAGGAAGCTTGAAAAGGATTTGGAGGAGGAGAATGGTGGTGCTGGTGTATACTCTGCTAGTCTCAAGAAACATTACATATTAGCCAATGACGAGTGGAAGGAGGACATAATGCCTGAGATTTTAGATGGACATAATGTATATGATTTCGTTGATCCTGACATTTTGCAGAGATTGGAGGAGTTGGAGCATGAAGAGGGGATGCGAATGGAATCAGAGGGAGTTGAAGTTGAGATGGATGGATTGGATTTGGAGTTGACCCCCGAGGAGAAAGAGGCTCTAGCTGCTATCAGGAGAAAGAAGAGCTTGATGGTCCAGGAGCATAGAATAAAGAAGAGTACAGCTGAGAGCAGACCCATTGTACCTAGAAAATTCGACAAGGATAGGAAATTCACATCTGAGAGGATGGGGAGGCAACTTTCTTCTCTTGGCATGGATCCATCTGCTGCCATTGATCGTGTCCGTGGGAGGTCTCTATCAAGAAAAGGCCGTAAGAGAGATAGATCATTGGCTAATGATGATAATGGAAGTGAAGCTATGGATGTTGATGATGGCGATGGATCGAACAAGAAGATGAGAATTAGGTCTAGGTCAAGGTCCATGTCAATGTCTAGGTCAAGATCACGATCACGACCTCCTGGTGAAGTTGTGCCTGGAGAAGGATTTAAGGACTCGGCACAGAAGCTCACAGCACTCAAGATTGCTAAGAAATCTGTGAAGATGAGGAATAAGGATGCTCGACGAGGAGAGGCGGATAGAGTCATTCCTAACTTGAAGCCAAAGCATCTGTTTTCAGGAAAGAGGTCAATCGGAAAGACTCAGAGACGTTAAGGTATTCATGATTAAAAGCACATATTATACTGTCAATCGATAAAATCAGCTGTTGCTTGATAAATTCTTTTGCCTTGTTTTTCTTGCAGGAAGCAATTTTCGTCAAAGAACAAGAGATGCGTTTACTTCTTTGGAATTTTTGTTTGAGAGCAGTTTTGTTTAGTCTATGTTGATTGTTGTTTTTTATATTCCCCTTATCACTCATGTAGCTTATTTAAGGTACCTACTATGGAGGTTTTTCTTATTGAAGGATTGAAGGATTGTTTCGGTAAGATAAAATGATAGTATTTGAATGGTTTTTTTTTTCCTTTCAGCTTTGTTAAAGTTGGAACTTTGTGATATGTGTAATGACTTTGTTCAGGGACTTGTATCCTGTTACGTGTGATCATGTCTATGAAGACGTCCATCCATTGTTGAAGGTTTGAACCAAGTCGCCAAATGATGAGATTTCCATGCAGATAGCATCTTGGATTGTATTTATTTACCGAAGTTTCCTCTTTGTCCTGGATAAAGCATTGGTTGTACTCTGTTGAAGCATTTCATAAGACGTCCTTATTCATTAACTGATGCACTTGCTTTAGGTTTCCAGCTTTACCTCTTTTATTATAAAATTGTTCTTAGAAGTCGGTTCTTTTTGGTCAATTTTCCTCTAGCCGTATATATGAAGGCTCATGCGGATAGCTCTCTGTTGGCAATTGGTGCTGTGTGTTTTGTATGAAGTGCTCGGAAATGGTAATATCCTTGTAAGGTCTTTGAACCACTTCCCCCTCAGTTTTCTGGTGCCTATGCTGTGTATCTTTGCATATATGCACATGCGCGCCAGTTTTCTGGTGCCTATGCGTTTATCTGTGCATGTATGCACTTGCACGCCCTTCTCTCCTGTCCGCTATGAGTAAACTGTACTAGGACTTGTTTTGTTAGTTGCAATTGTGTATATGTGCACATGTATGCACGTGCACGCGCACCTCTCCTCTCGGCTATGAGTAAATTGAGCTAGGGCTTGTTTGGTTAGTTGCAATTGTGCATCTGCGCGTATATATGCACGCACACGCCCTTCTCTCCTCTCTGCTATGAGTAAACTGAGATAGGTCTTGTTTGGTTGGTTGCAATTGCAAAGGTTGTAACTTATAATTGTAGTTACGTTCAACTGCGATGCTTTTTGCCAGTTGCATTTGTTTGTTTTATTGCAAGTTATTTGTTGCAGCCAGTGATTTCTATATAGTCAAATCGTATATTGCAATTGCGACGCTTTTGAGCTGTAAGTAAGGATTTAGTTATAGCTCCAGTCATAGCTACCGGCATCCAATATAAGTGTAATAGGTCTAATATTCCAAAATAAGCGCCTATAATTGTAACTGCAATGGCATACAACTCGTATCTATGCTGTAAATATGACCGCATCGAACCAAATAGTCCTCAGCACGTTAGCTATGCTGCAGTTGAGGTAGGTCACTTGTGTGCAAATATCCTTGAAACCATCCACTTGGGTTTTATTCAAGCCTCTCCCTACATTCCACTTACTCATAAAGAAGGCCATTGCAAATAAAATACCCATGCAGTGGGATATCTCTTTATTCTCCACCACTGTCCTTTTTCAAATGTGTTCGGTTGCATGTCCTTGTCCTCAAGGATAATTGAGAGCACTAACATCCCATAAAGCTTTCTTGTGCCCTTATCTTATGTTGCCAAAGACTTAAGTACACTCTGCTCACTATGGTGTCCTATTCTCTTTGATATTTGCCCTTTTTGTTTAATCTCAGTTGAGCCCCCATATCTCAGTTGGGAGAATTGTTTGTCTAGTAAAGGGATTAGCTGCCCTAGTCTTTTTCCACTAACCCTGTTTCTTTCCATTTTTGTCCTAGTGTTGAAAATGACACCAAACTTTGCCACAAAACTAAATCTTGTTTACACTATCATGCACTCCTGCTCTTGAACTATCTTATCATTTGTAATGAGGAGAAGTTCTAAAGCGCCATTACGGCTCCCCAGGGGCTACACTGCCAGATAATCTTCTCGCGGTTTAGTTAAGCATATATATTCGCAATAAACAATTTACAAGATTTTATAACTCTCCTTAGAACATGAATTTTGAGAATATGGGTTCCCAATTTAATAAAAAAACCGGTTTTGAATACGTCTATGTATACACTTGTGTTATTATGTAAGCATTTATCTTCCACCACGTATTCAAAATAAAAAAAAGGGAAAAAAAAGAGCCACCACTAGCTATGTGAAATATAAGGGAGAACCATTAATATTTATGTGGGTGTACATCTCAAGTTTATTTTCAGATATTAACCTTGTAAATACTTATATTTCTCCCTCAACTTGTGATTGTTACATTTGAGTATGAGTTCTACAACTTGTTAGGCTCAATGCCACGAGCCAACAACATTATAAGAAGCAAGCAAAGCAATCCACTAGTATTATGTACTCCGCATTGCATATATTGCACTACATCGCACATCTTCTGAACTTTTCCATTCTCAATTACATTCGCAAAGTTCTTCGAGATTTGCATTATCAAATATAAAAGGCTAGTCCTATTATACTATGTTATCGTGAAGCTAATAGCAATTAGGTATGGCTCTGCCTATGGGCATTAAGTAATATGATGCATTTGACCATACACATGTAAGAGTTCAAGTAAATTAAGGAACAAATATTTCCCTGAATTAACATTCTTTTTCCCCCTTCTACGGATGTCAGAGAGATAGTGCTGATCGTCTTCTTTTGCGTTCTAAATTTAAGTTTGTAGGGCCGAGATAGTTTAAAAATTGTTCACATATAAAGAATAGCTTAACACCAATAATTCATATTACTTCCTACAACACAAGAAGGAAAAGCCCTTTTCTCTATGACCTTGTTGAATGGAGAAGACAATCAGCATTGCTCTTATGGCACCTAAGAAAGGCAATTTGGTCTTAATTATGATCTTAGCATGTCTTCTTTCAGGCTCATTTGCAGGTAATTTACTGGTTAATTTAAACAACATTGTGAATTGTATAATTTTGCAGTAGCTTCACTAGGCAGCGCAACAATTTTCTTCTGAAGTTTTCAGTTCAAGACAATGCTTCTGATTAATAGATTTATTTATACTGTGAGTAATTGCAATTTGAAGAAACAATGCCGCTTTATTACTTGATTGTGATTGCTTGATAAATCGTAGAATCATCATCACTCACTGACGTAAAAGCCAGCCGATGCAATATAAGTATTCGTCAAGAAAGAATAAAATTGGAGACTTTCTCCTCGTTTCGTTGAACCTTTGACGAATGTAAATATGTTCTTTCAAAAAACCAGGAGCTATCAATTAACTTTATGGTGAATTTCTTGCCACTCATAAAAGTAGTTTAGTTGGTTAATCTAGGTTTATCAGAGTAACTTTTTATTTTAGCTTTCATGAGTCTTATGAATTCCCTTCTTCATTACACCTAGAAAGTGGATGTGTCATACGTCACAAATTTCTGAAATCCTAATTTTCTGACGTAGTCAATTCAACAACATATGTCCTGAATTCCATCTTAAAAATAACTGATCTTTACAAGTTCTTTTAATGAAGTATATACATGTCACTTTAAGAATCCTTCATCTTTGTGTTAAATCTCTTTTGCAGGTGGGCATCGGAAGTTTATCAACAAATCCAGTGCACTTGAAGATGTTGCAGAGGTATTTGACTTATGAATCATATGACTATACACAATAATAAAAAAGCTTTTGGTTTAGTTGTTATCTTGGATAGGATTGCTGTACATTAATTAGCATGTCCAAGGAGATTAATGGAGAAGCTTGGAAATATATTTAAGCACACGCTTTAATAACCCTTGCATATTTGCTGAATATAACCAAATAAAACTTTGCCCTTGTGTGTTAGACATTCACATCTATGTTCGCTAATCATTAGCCCTTCACATCAATGTTCACTAATCATACTTACTAAACATTTGACAGGAATTACCAATGGAAAATGAAGAAGAATCTATTGTTCATCCAAGAATTCTTGTGGTTAAGACAAATGATTATGGAAGATACAATCCCACTCCTAGACTTTCAAAACCACGATTCAAGCTCATTCCGAACTGATAACATTACTTGTGTGCTGTGACAGAATTAAGCGGCTCAATCTTCATCTTTATGTTAAGAATGGTTATATGCAATTCTCAGAAGCTTAGATAAATACATATTTGTGTGTGTGGACTTAGTAGATTTTATGTAATATAGTTGCTGGCCACATCATGGAGATTGAGACAATCAGAAGCTGGTGCTTATATTGTGTTATCATGTAGGAGACCCATGAATATATGAATATTTATAAATATTATCTACTAGAAATCAAAATGCCTGAATTTTTAATCGATTGCATTCGCAAAGGAGTGATGCCTATTCATATTTTCGTACAGAGAGTACGTGAAAAATTCAACTTGATAGTTCATTTTGGTATACAGAGGTATGATGACTATCCCATCAATAATTGTCAAATCCAATATCTTGAAGCGTATCTGCATTATGTTTATTTTCCTTTTATTAGACTAATTAGCTTAAAAATAATTAGATGGATAACTCTACCGTCTACCCTAGAGATTTCATTGCCTTTACTGCCTTAAGAGTTCACGCAGTACAAGCAGGCTCTCTATCAAATATGCATGATCTTCTACATCCCTATTCCTTTTTAATGAGTGAAATCTCAAAATTTATCCAAATCTCGAGCGATTGGCTTAACATAAAGCGTTTGACAACTTCAAGTTCATTGCCTGGAGTTGATAATGTCAAGTTGCCACAATCAGTCCACTAAATGCTATAGATTAAGTTTTCAGATAACCATGAACCTTCCATTCTCATGAAAACCATACAGCTGAGATATGTGCTATGATATACACAACATACCCTAACCATCTAGCTCTATATGAATGAAGCTTCTAGCTAGCAATTATGTGTTGCTTCCCCATTGGTAAGTTGCATGTATACGTTTCATTGGTAGATGATTACCACTAACACTTGAAAATGTTATCTTTAGTAAAAGGAGAAAATACATTATTTTTTTTCAACCAATTTCTTTTGAAGAAAATAAGTAATTCACCGTACTTTTGACATTACATTTGAGTGACCAAGTCATAGTGCTCAACTTCACCTTCTCTATACTAAATTTAAAAATAAAAAGCTCAGCTGGCTAGATATGAACCTTGACATTTTTAGGATTCCTTCACACTGGCGTCATCCGTTTCTCTCTCTATATATATATATGATCTAGGAGATCTAAGAAGATATGAAACGATCTCGGTTCGTTAACATGGAGTCTAAGAAAGCTGCGTTCATCATAGTTGTGATACTGGCATCACTCGTCTCTGATTCATTTGCAGGTTTGATGGTGTAGTCCTTTTACTTATCTCATTACATGTAACTCATAGATTTAGCAGTTGGCATATTTACTTTAGAAAACTTTGGTTCACAGAGACAAACACTAATTGTAACGCCTTGTTTAA